AATTTGACTATTTCTGACTGACTTTCTGCTTGCTTTATTCAGTTCAAGTCCAAGATGCTGCTGGTGAAAATGTGAGTCAAGCTCCCGCAGCTCCTTCTGTCTCTGTGCCTCGCAGTAAGGCCGTGCCGAAAAAAACTGTTGCAGCTAAGAAGGCCAGTGCCACGAAGGGTAAGGCGAAGTTTAGTAAGATCATTTTTAGATAACAATTATTATTCCTGTGGTGAAACAAGTCTGAGTGATTTTGGTAGGCATTCAGAGGCCTGAAAAACTTCAGTTTTCATTTCAGAAAAGATCTGAGGTTTTGTGGCAAAGGTTGCCTAGTTGTCATTTTTAAAGAAGCCTTGTTTCCAAACATATCGTGTTCTAGTTCATCTCAGACATGCTTGAAGGGAGTGAATTTTAGTTTGGGAACAGGAAAAGTGAATGCTTCCTACAGTGCTATGTAATACTTGGCAGAAATAACGCGATTGGAATTTGTGTCTTGCAGCCCATGTTCTACTTCATGTCTTTTGGGGAAGAAAGCTACTTGGTAGCTTGCTTCCCAGGAAGAAGGGAAGCTGCTTCGGGGTAGCCTGATTGATGTAGTGCTAGCTCAACCTCATAAATCTATGGCATTTGGCTCAGGTATTTTTAAACTTAACTGCCCAGAGTCTTTGTCAGGATTTGAAAGCTGTTTTGCATATTCCATCACGAGCTGGTTTTGATCCCAGCAGTGAAATAGCACGCCACTTCACAGCAAAATAGCTGTTTCTTCCACTTCTAAATTGAGAAAGCCTATTATCATTCAGAAATGGCCTGCTCACTTCAGCTTAACTTGGAGATGTGCTTCAAGATGCTGTTAAAAAAGATGTCAAAATATAGGTAAGAAAGAACTCCACAAGTAACTCTTTAGTATAGCTGGTAAATTCATTCCTTCCCTCTGCAAAAGTTTTGAAGGTATAAGGTTGGTTACCCAGCCTTGAGAGTGCAGGACTTTGCAATCTGAAAGAGTCTGTAAATTGCTTCGGGTGCATTTTAATTTGATCCTCTAAATGTAGTGGAACTAAGCAGATAAACAACCTCATTTCTCATAATCTTGGTAAAGAGCAATCTTTCTAGAAAAACGGTGCTTCAAACTGAGGCGACCTGTGTGCTGACCTCGCAGCGTAGCGCGCTGCCATATTTGTGTTGGCAGCAACTCCCAAACGGCGAGTGAGGAGAGAGGCAGCAAAACACGGGTTTAAAGGCAGAGTTCTGTTTCAGATATCCAGCCATCCATCATGGATATCCTGGCCAAGAAAAAGGCTGCACCCAAACCCAGCAAGACGGCAGCAAAGGCGGGATCCCTGGACTCTGAGGCTGGAGCAGTGGGTGACAGGAAGCCTGGCCAGACCAAGGGCCGGAAGGTTGTCAGAAAGCAGCCAAGCTCGTCGAATTCAGATTCGGATTTTGGCTTGAAACCTTCCAAATCGTTTGCAGCGAAGGTTTGTACTCTGCCACCCGTGAGAGCCGGGGGGGTACCCCAGCGGGTGGCGCCGGTTATTCTGGCAGCAAAAGCGTGGGGGAGGTCGAACCTCCCCTGCGACACGCGTCTGTACCGTGGGAAGGGGGGTCGAGCTTATCCCAGACCCTTGGTTTGGGCTCATCAGTCCGAACCACCCCCCTACCCGTGGCCCAGCGGGGCGTTTGATGCCAACTGAGTGTTCCCTGTTTACGCTCAGATTCACAATTTACTTCTTGACTCTCCTTTCCCTCCAGAAATCCAGGCTGGAAGACGATGATAGCTTCACTATTGACTCAACTGCTCGTGCAGACAGCCCTGTAGCAGCCGTGCCCCACACCAGGCCTGGGCGCCTCAAAAAGCCCGTCCAGTACTTGGAGGAGTCTGATGAGGACGATATGTTTTGAATTTTTACGAGGATTTTAAACTGATCCAAGCAGATCGACAGACTAGCCTTTAGCAGTGCTCTTGACCAGCTCTCACCAAAGAACATCTCAGACTGGGAAATCGCTCCACTGAATTTAAGCTAGTCTAGAAGTGTTTGTTACAAGTGAACGCAGCTCTATTTTTATGGGTTTTAAATAGCTTGGATTTGTTTAAACAGAACACCCACACCCCGCTTTCTGGTGAACACTGGAGCCACGTGCCCAGCCAGTGCTGCTGCACTTCCCTCTTACCCAGTCGCTAGCTGGAATCTTTTGACGCTTTGGTCATTTTAATGTTGAAGCAGACTTTAGAACATATCAAATCCTTTAAAATACCCTCTCACATAGGTACCTTCCTCTTTTGATATTTTAGAAAGTAATTAAATAGATAAGCTTTTAACTCCGTGGCCATAGAGACGTAGGGTGAGGTGCAGGCGTTTAGAACTCCACGGGAGTGTTTTTCTTTCTCCCTTGCTGTCCTTGCTGTCTGTGCAGGCGCCTGCTCATCCTCTGCCATGTTGAGTTTTAGCCTTTAGGTTTTTAAATACAGATTTAGTAATGGAGGTTTGTGCAGACTTGTCTCTGCTCCGTGCTCAGTGTTGGCAGCTTTATCTCCTGTCTGGCTGCCAAGAAACCCCGTGTTCAGCTAGTTCAGCCCAGAGGTCATCTTCAGGTAAGGGATGCTTGTGGCTGCCAGTGCCTCGTGCTGTTGAAGAGCTAAAGGGGTGTCCCTGCGGTGCCAGCTGGGTGACACGGGCACTTGGAGAGGAGGGCAGAGGCAGGACGGAGTTTTGCCATCCCGGGATCTTTGATCTGCAGGAACTTGCAGGAAAAGCCTGTCGGCCATTCTAGCACACACCTTGGGAAGCGGCGGGTTCCCCCGTGCTGGGCGCTGCCAGAGGCTGTTCTGGGAACCTTCTGCCCGGTTGTTCCTGGGGCCAGAAGTTGGCCCGGCCCTGGCGAGGTGAGGCCTGTTTGTCACCCCGGTGCCAGCGGGGATGGGTCCCTTTCCCCTCTGAACTACTTCCTGGGAGTATGTGGTCGTGTTTTGCTTCTCGTAGAGCCATTTCTGTAACGCTATTTTTTGACTGTATGTAAACATTTTCTGTGTTTTTCTTGTTGTCCTGAGTTTCTGTCCTGTTTAATATTTATGTGATAATAAAAGTGGTTTTTACTCAAGCTTTCTGCAGTAAAAATTTGTCCTCAGCTGCCCATCCCCTTGGTTTTCCCTTGCGCCGGCTCTCCAGAGCCACGAGTTGTCTTTGTTCAGGGTGAGTACTTGAAACTCCGACTTTCTCAGGAGCGAGAGGCCACCAGCTCCCTCCCTGCGCTGCCAAGACTGGTCGAAATGGGTCATCTCCATTGTCTAACCACGCTCCTTATTGCTGAGGTTCTTTCCCGCGCTCATTTAGCCAATTTGGGCATTGTCATGGAAATGCCCGCTGCGGAGCCTGGGTCAAGCTCGGTGGCGGTGGAGCGAAGGGCTTGGCACGGGCTCTGCCCTGTGCAGGGCTGCTGGGACCCACCCGCCGGCACCAGCTCAGGTGCTGCCCGGACTCTTCCCCTGCCAGTTCCTCGCTTTACAAAATTTCCTGGCTTTGCAAAACCTCTGCCTGGACCCGCCACCTCAGCCGAGGTTTCCCGATTCCTGTGAAGGGCCGGTGTGGCCCCCGGCAGCTGCGGGTCCTGCCGTGCTCAGTGCTCCCAGGCTGGAGAGTTTTACACTGAGCGTGGGGTTTGTGCTGACACCCAGCTCCGCTCCTGGCAAAGGGGGGGGGCAGGTTAGGGTGGGGGGGTGAGGGGTGCTGTTCCACGCCCCCCCCAGAGCATCCTCCCCACAGCCGAAACGTGCAGCGTGGGGCTGTCACCGTGCTGGCAGGGACAGAGCCAGTGCTGGCTCCTGGGCTGGTGCTGGGGGACGAGTAGGACCCAGCTGGGGCCCCCCCTGTCCCAGGCTGGGGGGGGGGCTGCGTGGCTGCGGGCCCCCTGCCCCCCCCCACCAGCGGGTCCAGGCCCTATCGGTGCCACCGAGGTGCTTTGCTGGAACCCAGTCAAGTGTGGAAAGCGCTGTCAGATTTTCCACTGCCGGGCTCTGGAGAGCGTCTCCAGCGCGTCCCCGCCGAGGGGCCGGGCTATTTACAGCTCTCCCGGCTGCAAGCGCCCCCAGAATCAAGGGCGAGGCCGCAGCCGGGCTGCACCCATCACCCCGGCGTCACCCCGAATGTCTGGAGTGAGCTCTGCGGGCACGAGCACGTGCACGCACACACCGAGGGCACCTTGGTGTCTACCAGGAATTTCTCCATCACAAACTCTCCCTGAGCGGGGCCTTGGGGATGCTGAGGGTGGCTGGAGGGGGAGCGGGGGGCTGTGGGGTGTCAGACACCGACCCACTGTGGGCATCGCACGTCCCCTGAGGGGTGAGGAGAGCCCGAGGGTGACCTGCCCAGGCCAGGGCTCTGCTCCCGGTACCCGAGGGGGAATGTGAGGCGCAAAGGCCGCCGGCAGCCCCGGCCGTGCCACGGAGCATCACTGTGCTTTGGGAAGCGGCAGCACGGCCACTCCTGCCGGAGCTGGCAGCAGCCCCGGATGGTCCGTGGGAGCCTCCGTGGCCCCGACAGCCCCAGCACAGAGCAGGGGGGGCTGGTGCCAGCCCTCAGCATCCCCCGGGCACAGCACCCCAACCCCACGGGCAGAGCCCGGCCCCAGGCAAGCCCGGGGAGCAGGAGCTGCCGCTGCAGAGCCAAACGCGGCCGCTGCACCCGGGCTCTGCCGGGGCCAGGGAGGCGATGCCAGCGCTGGGGGGGCCTTTTGGGGGCCCAGTGCCGTGGCTTGGTACCCTGAGGCCGTGGGGGTTTGGGGCGGCCAGGGCATGGGGACATTTCTGCATTTGGGTGGGGGGGTGGTGCTGCTGCTGTCAACTTGCACCCCAGGCAGCTGCTGGCCCCGGGGCAGGGGCCGTGTTTGTCCTTGACCCCCCCCCACTCCCCCACCCAGCAGAGCTGAGCCCTTCCCTCCCCTCCGGGCGCCCCTGCGGCTGCTCTGTCTCTTTAAAAGGACTCCAGGCGTGGCTGCGGGACCGACATCCCATCCCAGCCGGACAAGGGACCGGCCAGTCCCGGCCAGTCCCGGCCAGTCCCGGCCAGCCACACTGGCCCACCGTGACCGCAGCCTCCGCAGGTACCGGGGAAAACCCCGCCGGGCTGGGCTGGGGGGTGCTCAGGAGGTGCGGGGAGGGGGGGACAAGGGATGGGGAACCTGCTCGTCCTGCCCCAGCTGGTGCCCTTGGACCCATCTCTAAGGGGGAGGAGGTGGGGGGGTGGGAGCGAGTCCTGGGGCACAGCAGAGGCCTGGGGACACTCGTGACAGGGGTGAGCTGGGCTGGCGCTGCCCGGGCACCCTCCTGTGAGCGATGGGTTTGGGATTGGAGCGGAGGGTGCTGAGCTGGCGGGGGCCGCGCTGCCCGCTGGGGTCCGTCCTCGTGGGCACAGCTCGTGTGTGTGTGTGTGTGTGTCCCCAGCACTGACCCCGCTCCCGCAGCGCGGCCATGGGCGAGTGGGGCTTCCTGAGCTCGCTGCTGGACGCGGTGCAGGAGCACTCGCCCATGGTGGGGCGGTTCTGGCTGGTGGTGATGCTCCTCTTCCGCATCCTGGTCCTGGCCACCGTGGGCAGCGACGTCTTCGAGGACGAGCAGGAGGAATTCGTCTGCAACACGCAGCAGCCGGGCTGCAAACCCGTGTGCTACGACGCCGCCTTCCCCATCTCCCACTACCGCTTCCTCGTCTTCCACGTCGTCGTCCTCTCGGCGCCCGCCGCGCTCTTCGTCATCTTCGCCGTGCACCAGGCAGCCAAGCCGGGGCGCGGGGGGGCCCCCGGCCAGCGCGCCCGCCGCCTCCAGCCCTTCTACGTGGGCAGCGTGGTGGCACGCATCGCGGCCGAGCTGGGCTTCCTGCTGGGGCAGGCGCTGCTCTACGGCTTCAGGGTGCAGCCGCTCTTCGTCTGCCGCCGGCGGCCCTGCCCGCACCGCGTCGACTGCTTCGTCTCCCGCCCCACCGAGAAAACCGTCTTCATCCACTTCTACTTCGTGGTGGGGCTGGTCTCGGCGCTGCTCAGCCTGGCCGAGCTCGCCCACCTCCTGCGCAAGGGCCCCCCGCCCCGCGCCGGCTGCTGCCACCCGGGGGGGCAGCGGGGACCAGCCCCCGGGCAGCCGGCGGGGGCCGCGGTAGAACCGTGCCACCCCAAAGCCTCGCCGCCGCGGGGGGACCTGACGGTGTAGCTGGCCCCGGGTTGCCATTGCTGGCACGAGCTGTGGCCGGTCTCAGCCCCGGTTGGTGCCCAGCAGGCGGCTGCGGGTCGTGTGTGTGTCCCCCCTGCCCCCCGGGGCCCAGCCCTCGCCCCTGGTTCCTGTTGTGGGCGGCGGATGGGCCTCACCCGGCAGCTGCTGGAAAAAAAATACGGACAAAAGGAAAACAAACAGGTCCCATCCCTGCGCAGTGACAGGGACGCCCCTGACATCCCCACACCCCACACCCCCCCGGTGCCAAGCTGGGCTGGGGCTGCCCCCACACCCTGTGTGCAACTGCTGCGTCAGGGCTGGGAAGGGCAAAGCTTTGGGGGTGCTGGGGGAACCCCAAAGGCTTCTGCCCTGGGCCAGCCTTTGGGGATGGCCAGATGGGGGGGGTCTTGGGGTGCCCCCCCGCAGCAAAGACACACACACCCCCCAAAGACTCAGGGTGCTGCAGCCCTGACCATGCTCCCCTCCCTGGGCACCCACACCCTCCCCTGCCCCCCCCAGGTGTCCCCGCAGCAAGAACGAGCCAGGCACTAGAATAAATAAACTTTATTCTGGAGCCAGCCCCCCCCTCCCCGCCCCCCCATTTCCCCCCCATCCTCCCCGTGCCGGCAGGGCCTGGCCCCGCTCCCCGCAAGGCTGGGGCTGGCACTGCCGCGTGCCCCCCACAGCCCCCCAACCCCACCTGGGGGGGGGGCCGGGGCAGGGCCCACCCAGCACTCCCCGACTCTAAAACCACTAAAATCTCAACAACAACAACAAAAAAAAAAAAAAAAAAAAAAAAAAAAATTAATAATAATAAATCGTGTGCCCCCCCCACCCCTCCCACCCCCCCACCCCCCCCAGCAGCGCCCACCGTGCCCCCTCCACCTGCACAGGCCTAAAAACCCCTCCAAACTTTTACAAAGGTTTTAAAACGTATTTATAGATATTTATAGATATTTATATATATATACTTTGCTTTCTTTTCTCTTTTAAATGACTCTGCTTCCTCAGCGTGTGGGGGCTGGCCGGGTCCTCCCCGCCGGACGGCCGGGACGGGGGGGGGTGGCTCGGTGGTCGCGCTCCCATCTGTGCTGGTGCTGGTGGGGCCGGGGCGTCCCCGGGGCCGCGGCCGAGGGTCCCCGCGCCCCTGAAATGTGACTCAACCAACGCGCTTCGCCCGGGGCTGGGGGGGCCGGGGGCTGCGGGGCTCCCCCGCGGGGTCCACTCCGGCGGGAGGGGAGGGAGGAGGGGGGGGCTGCCGAGGAGTCCACCCCCGGGGGGGGCTGCAGCCAGGGCCGAGGCGCTGGGCCCCCCCCCCCGCCGCGTGCCGGCGTGCCGGGCTCTGTCCTGGTGCGCGCCGGGCGCGGGTCATGGCGAGTGCGTGGCCGGGCTGCTGCGGTTGGAGCTGGGCGAAAGGCTGGGGCTGCAGCTGCCCGGGGGGGGCCCCAGGCTGCCCCCCCGGGGGCCGCCCGGCTGCCCCCCCAGCGTGTCCATGCCCTCCGAGTTCTCCAGCATCTCCTGGATGAGGGGCGGCATCGACCCCGGGATCTCCATCTTCAGCGTGATCACCCGCTCGGCGCCTGCGGGAAGGGTCGGGGGTCAGCAGGGCAGGGCACTGCTGGCACCCCCAAACGGGCACCCCCAAACGGGCATCCCCAAATGGGCACCCCCAAACAGGCATTCCCAAACGGGCACCCCCAAACGGGCACCCCCAAACGGGCACCCCCAAATGGGCATCCCCAAACAGGCACCCCCAAACGGGCATTTCCAAATGGGCACCCCCAAACGGGCACCCCCCAAACAGGCACCCCCAAACAGGCACCCTCAAATGGGTACCCCCAAACAGGCACCCCCAAACGGGCATCCCCAAACGGGCACCCCCAAACGGGCACCCCCAAACAGGCACCCTCAAATGGGTACCCCCAAACAGGCACCCCCAAACAGCCATCATCAAACGGGTACCCCCAAACGGGCACCCCAAAACCGTCACTCCCAAACCAGCACCCCCAGCTCTGCTCCTCCCTGGGTGCTGAGGCCAAGGGCCACGACCATGTCCCCCACCCTCGTCCCCTCTGGAGGGTGCTGTGCCCCGGGGGAGGGCCCTGGAGCCCCCCCACCGATGCCGAGCCCCCAGGCCGCTCCCCCGGGACACGGAGCGGCAGGAGGGCGGCCGCCCCCTCCCCAGCGCTCACCCTTGGCGCTGATGCTGCGGAGATCCGTGATCTTCATGAGCATCTTGGGGAACATGTGGGGTTTGTTGGGCCTCCTCTTCCTCACGTAGATCTTCAGCGCCTCCAGCAGCGGCTCCTGCAGCTTGTCCACTTTGTCAGGCTGCTCCAGGTCCTGGCGGTCTGGGAAGGGGACGGTGGTTACGGGGTGCGGGGGGGGGGCAGCACACATCCTGTCGTTCCCCGCCTTGCCCTCCCGTGGGTGCAGATACAGCCCAGCTCCCTGCTCCGGGCCCTGAGGGGCTCGCGGGGGTGGCCGGGCACCATTTGGGGTCTTCTTGGCCAGCTATTTTGGGGAGGATGGCCGGGCAGGCACCGGGGGTCTGCCGGGGGTGCCCATCCCTACACCCACCCCCCCACCTCGGGCACCCACCTCCGCAGATGAGGCAGATGGCGCTGAGCAGCCCCGTCTCGGCGTCGTCCATCTCCAGCGGCAGCAGCTGGTTGGCGAAGGCGAAGACGAGGTCGGTGAGGGGCCCGAACCCCGCGTTGTGCATCTGCGTCCGGTTCAGCGTCAGCCCGTCCGAGAAGGTCATGGTGTCCTGCTCCGGCGTGTAACGCGTGCAGATCCGCAGGATCTGGGGAGGGAGGGAGCGGGGGGCGAGGGCTCAGCCTGGCCCCCCCCCTGCCCCATCCCTGTCCCCCTCCCCTGTCCCCGCTCTCACCAGGATGTCGAGGCAGGCGGCTTTGAGGAGGGTGATCTGGTCGGCGATGGTGAGCGTGGTGAAGCCGGGGAGCTGCTTGGCAAACTCCACCGTCTTGATGATGCACTTGGTGGACAACTCGCTGAACTTGTCCCACAGGTCGATGTCCAGGGACACCCGCTGCTCCGAGCTGTTGTTCTGCAGCGGGAAGCAGGACCTGGGGTGAGGGGGAGCGGGGGGGGGGGGGTGCTGCCCTGCTCCCCACCCCCCCAGACCCCCCGACACTCACCGTAGTGTATTTGCCGAGCTGGCAGAGGGCGGGGAAGGTCTCCTGGTGGGCTTTGCGCACCTTCTCGATGAGCTCCTCCACCTCGGGCGTGATGATGTAGCTCTCCGAGCACTCCGGCTTCGGCACGTCCTTCTTCTTCTTGTTCCGGTCATTGCGGACGGCTGTGGGGATGGCAATGTCATTGTCACCCAGCCCCACTGTCACCCAGCCCCGCTGCCACCCAGCCTCTGCCCAGGGCCGGGGATCAGCCCCGCTGCGCTCCGTCCCCCCAGGGCAGGATGAGGACCCTGCTGGGATCGGGCCCGCAGTGACGAGCAGCCAGCACCATGCAGCTTTCCTTTAAATAAACCCACAAGTTGTTGGGGGTGACACCGCATCCAGGGGGACGCACACACACATACCCCCCCCCCCCCCGGGCCATGGGGACAGCGCTCAGCTCTGCTCGGCAAAGCCGATACAGCAGAGAAAAACACCAGGGAGAGAAAATGGCAGCTGAGCCACCGCGCTCATCATGGGGGTATGTGGGGGACACCCCCAAGGCAGCCCGGTGCAGCCCCCTCCCCATCCCCCCCCCACCTGCAAGGCTCAGCCTCTGTGGGCCTGGGGTGGGGGGCCAGGACCCTCTTTAGATGCAGGGTGAGCTGCACCCCCAGCAGTGCCCAGCATCCCCCAACCCACCAGCCCCCCCTGGGGATCAGGGGCCCCACGGGGTGGGGGGGGCAGGATTCGGGGAGGCAGCTGCGCCCCAGCAGCCATCACCCACCCCCCCCAGCCCCATCACCCACCCCCAGAGATGCTGCACCACGGCGGGGGGGGGGGGGGGGGGGGCACGGCCGGGCACCATGACAACTGGCACGCAGACGCCAGGAGGCCTCGTCAGCATCATTTATCTCTGACATCATCAATCACATGTTGCCCGGGCAACAGCCGGGCTGCGACACAAACCCGGGGGGGGGCCCCACCCCCCCCCCAACACACACACACACCCCCCCAGGCACATGGTGGGGGGTGCCAGGATGGCCCACTGTGCCCAGATCCCCAGCTGCACCCAGGCAGGGTGTCCCTGTCCCCATCTCTGTCCCATCCTCATCCTTGTCCTGGTCCTGTCCCCATCCCTGTCCCTGTTCCATCCTCATCCTCATCCCCGTCCCAGTCCTGTCCCCATCCCCATCCTGATCCTGTCCCCATCCCTGTCCCTGTTCCATCCTCATCCTCATCCCCATCCTGGTCCTGTCCCCATCCCTGTCCCTGTTCCAGCCTCATCCTCATCCCCGTCCTGATCCTGTCTCCTCCCTGTCCCCACCCCTGTCCCTGTTCCATCCTCATCCTCATCCCCGTCCCAGTCCTGTCCCCATCCCCATCCTGATCCTGTCCCCATCCCTGTCCCTGTTCCAGCCTCATCCCTGTCCTGGTCCCATCCCCATCTCTGTCCCTGTTCCATCCTCATCCTCATGCCCGTCGTGGTCCTGTCCCCATCCCTGTCCCTGTTCCAGTCTCATCCACATCCCCATCTCTGTCCCATTCTCATCCCTGTCCCAGTCCCCGTCCCCACCCGCACTCACACTCCTTGGACATGCCGACTTCGAAGCACTTCTGGAGGCGGCAGTACTGGCACCGGTTGCGCGTCACCTTGTTGATGATGCAGTTCTTGTCCCGGTGGCACGTGTACACCATGTTCTTCTGGATGCTGCGGCGGAAGAAGCCCTGGGGACCCCGCACAGCCCGGTCAGCGCCCGGCACGGGGACCCCGGGGACCCACGGGGACGGTGGCCACGGGACTGCGGGGGGGTGGGGGTGGCAGTTCTCACCTTGCAGCCCTCGCAGGCGCTCACCCCGTAGTGGTACCCCGAGGATTTGTCCTGGCAGACGAAGCAGGGCTTGTAGATGCGGGGCAGGGGAGGGGGCGAGGGCGGGCTGGGCACGATCTCCTCCGAGCTGGTGCTCTGCGTCTCCACGGCTGCAGGGAAGGTGACAGCGCTCAGGGCGCGGAGACACCCCCCCCTGCACCACCCGACAGCACCAGGGTCAGCCCTGGGTCCGGTGGTCCTGCCAGCCCCCCCAAATCAATGCTGCCCACCCCAGCCCTGCCCAG